ATGCAGGAGAGGGACGCAGACGATACGAGGGATGAGAGAGATGCGACGGTCGGTTACGACGATGACGAAGACGACGACGGCGACGGCGACGACGATGGCGGCGACGACGACGACGACGTCGCGCTCTCTCGAATCGCAAGGGGTGCGATGGGGGTGACCATACAGACGGGGATGGGCGGCGCAGCTCTTGCATGGTGCGGGGGGCTCTCCCATCCGCTCTCCCACCCGCCCCCATCTATTGGTCACCCCCGTCGCACATCCTGCCATTCGAAAAAGCGCGCTCGTTGCGCAGGCATTTTTTTCACAATGCCAGGCGGCGCTCTACTCGGACATGAAACTGTCATCGATCGGCGGCGGGCCCTTCGTCGCGGCAGGAGTCGACTGGGCGGGGCTCGATGCGGGGCTCGGTGCGGGGCTCTTCGCCGCGGTGGCTGGCGGCTTTGCCTCAGGCTTTGCCTTTGGCGTCGGACTCTCTGGCGGCGTTGCCTCAGGCTTCGCCTCGGGCGTTGCCTTGGGCTTTGCCTTTGGCGGACTCACTGGCGGCTTTGCCTCAGGCTTCGCCTTAGGCTTTGCCTTAGGCTTTGCCTTAGACTGTTCCTTTGGCGGGCTCACTGGCGGCGTTGCCTCAGGCTTTGCCTGGGACTTTGCCTTGGGCTTTGTCTCCGCGGGCGCTGGTGGCTTCGCCTCAGGCTTTGCTTTGGCAATTTGTTTCCCAGCGGCTGGCTTCTTGGCGGCGTTGTTCTCCTCCTCGTCCTCTTCGTCCTCGGGCGCGCCCTCGGCACCGGAACCGCCCCCCGACCCAGACTTGCAGTCCGACTCCTCCTCGGGCGGCGCGCCCTCCTCATCGTCCTCGTCCTCGTCCTTGTCCTTGTCATTGTTCTTGCCAGCGGGCTCGGCGTCCTTGTCAGCGGGCTCAGCACCCCCATCAGCATGTGCAGCTGGACGCTTGGCCACTGCTGCTGCTGGTTTGCGCATCTTCTTGCGGAACTGAGAGAGCCACTTCTGCTTCTCGCCCTCCATCCAAGGTTTGTCTTTTTCCCCTGTGCAATATAGCTCTGCCCACTTCTGCATGTTACTTTTTGCCGTGTCCTCTTGTTCTGGCGGGTACCCAATGCACTGCTGGAGTTGTTTTCCGTTCTCCTGTGTTTGAACCCAGTGTTTATCCCCTTTGTTCACGAGCTGGACGTGCACATTTGATTTGTTCGGACCAATCCCCCGCCAGAACACCAGATTGGCTTTCTTGACGGCCGTCACGGGCGATGCACACTCTGCTGGTACTTCCCAAAAAAAATGATCTGGCCACGTAGCCACAAGCAACTCGTGCCCCTCCTTCTTCTCTGGCGACGCGTACTCGGGGATCTCGTCCCCGCCCACCCTGTAGCGCCATGCAGACTGGCAGGGGTCAACAAACGAGGGGGGGGGGGGGGGGCACAGAGGAGGAGGAGGATGAGGAGGAAGGATCGGGCAGAGGTAAGAGGAGGATGAGGACGAGGAGGAAGAGGGGGAAGGGAGGAGGAGAAGGAGGAGGAGGAGGAGGAGAACGAGCAGGAGTAGGACGAGGAGGATTGCCGGATTGCCTGCATAGGGCCCGACCACCCGACGTTCCACCCATCTTTGGTCTCCAGGGTCTCCAGGACCTGCCCCTTGCGAAGGCGCTTCGGTTTCTTGGGGTTGTCGTCAGCTTTGTCCTCGCGAACGGCGACCGCGATCGATCCAAGCCCCGAACCGCATTCCATCGCAAAATCCATCGCGATCGATTTTGCGATGGAATTCCAGTCGTTCCTCTGGTGCGAACGCCCCCCCCTCTTGGTTGCAAGTCCTTAGTGCCACCGTGACACGTTTGAAACGAAATGCCAGGCGGATGATCGAGCACTTGCGCCCATACAGTTTTCCTGTCGAACGCGTTTTCTCTAATGACAGGGGGGCGACGGTGGTGACCGACGGGGGCGGGTGGGATAGCGCGCTCTCGAATGGCGTTGAGGCTCTCCTACCCGCGCCCGTCTAACGGCCACCCCCGTCGCACCCTCTGCCATATGAGATAGCGCGTTGGTTGCCCAGGCGTCTTCTGCAGCGCTTGGTCGGCATGTCTCAAAAGGTTTTTGATTTGTTTCTGCGTGTCTTCGACCCAGTTGGCCGCGTCGTCTGATAAGTGCCACTTTTCCTCGCTCTTCCATGCCACCAACCAAAGAACTGCCTGGTGCTACAAACCAATCCGATCCTCGATCAACCCCCGTGGGGTGAGGGGGGTGAGCGGGCGGGGCGGGGCGAAAGGGTTTATTAGAAAGGGTGGGGGGGGGTAGGTCCGAGGAGGTTTGCAGGAGTGTGGGCGGAGGTGGCAGGGGATGGGTTGGTGAATTTCGGCGGCCCGCGACCCTCCGCATCTCAGCAGACACGGTTGTTCGAATACTCCGAGTATCTCGGATAAGACCTTGATGTCTAAGAAGGCCGTTTTTGTCAAGGACTGCGTCGGCGCACACCGCAGTCGTATATTGAATCGTGTCTGCCTTGGGGTGTGTCTGAAAACATGCCTGGAGGGGGGGGGGTCTGGGGGGGGGGGCACGGGGTTTCGAAGTCGCCGTTCGCATTGCGATGAACCGCCCCCCTTACGTGCGATCCGAGGTCGGATTGATTATCGCCTTCGGAATGTGAAGGAGCCAAGCCCTCACGAGCAGATCCTTGTCGCCCTCCGCCGCGTCTCCCATCGTGGGAGGGAGGATATACCTCGCTATCTCAGAAGCCACTCGAGCCGAAGTCAAAATGTCTACGGAGATCGACGTCGCCGGGCCCGTCCCCACTGACCTCCTCCATTTCTTTAGCGAGGCGGGGTGGAGAACAGTTGGAGGAGAGGTGCCGATGAGGACGGAGGGTGGATGGGGGGAGGAGGGGTGGGGGAAGGTGGATTGGGGAGGAGGAAGTAGGAGGAGGAGGGATGACGAGGAGGAGGAAGGACGGTTTACGCATTTGTTGTGTTGTTGTTGCGTCCCCCCATCCCCTCCCTGCCCTTGTCCCTCCTCGTCATCATCAGGATCCGCCTCCTTCTCCTCGGATCCTCCTCCTCATCATCCTCGTATTCCGCCTCCCCCCTCTCATCCTCATCATCACCATCCTCATCGTCGTCATCATCATCGTCATCGCCGACGTCGCCATCATCACCCACCACCATCATCACCAACATCATCACCACCACCCTCCTCGGAGCGGCGGCTGCGATCCTCGAATTCTGCGAACATCTTGGCCGCCATGGCCACGCGATCGCGCTTGGTGGGGTTGTCCGTGAAATCCTGCAGCGCCTGCGGGTTGCTCGATTTCCCCCCTCGTCCTCCTCCTCCTCCTCCTCCTCCTCCTCCTCCTCGTCCTCGTCCTCGTCCTCGTCCTCCTCCTCGTCCTCCTCCTCCTCCTCATCCTCCTCCTCCTCCTCCTCCTCCTCCTCCTCCTCCTCCTCCTCCTCCTCCTCCTACTCCTCCTCCTCCTCCTCCTCCCCCTCTCCTCCTCGTCCTACTCCTCCTCCTCCCCTTCTGTCGCCATCCCGCTCCTCCCCCTCGTCCTCCTCCTCGCCCCCTCCCCTCGACCGCTCGCCTCGTCCGTCAAGCGGGTGCTCGCCTGCGAGGCCGTGTCGTCGCCCACGCACGCCTCCTTTCGGGCGGCGCGGCTCTCCATCCTGCCCTCTCCTCCCCTCCCCCTCCAATCCTACCGGTAGCGGTGGCTCGACGAGCCACCGCAAAATCCACCGCAACATCCATTGCAATGGATTTCGAGATGGATTTTCAAGGTCGCCCTAGCGCCGCCACGGGGAGGGATCAAGCTGACGGGGTAAGGGCGAGGTGTGCGTATTGTTGCACCACTGTCCTTCATGCTCTTGGACAAAGCGGCTGGCCCCTGCCACGAGCTCTGAGACCTCGAACCCGGCGGCACGTGGTTGTCGGGGTCGCCGCCTTTCTCCGTCAACTCCTCGAGCGATGCCTTGATGGCGGCCTTCTCGTGCTCCTCCTCCTGCTGCGCGAGCCTCTTGCGCTCATCCTCGTCGGCGATGCTGTTGGCCATTGCCAACTTGAAGTCAGGGCTCACGGGCGTTTCGATCACGGTCGCGGTATCCGCGGCGGCAGCCGCCGCCAAGCGGGCCTGCTCTTCCATTTCGTTCGCCTCCATCGCCAGTTTGAAGTCGAGCGAACACGGCGTCTCTGCATCGTCCAACTCGTGGATGCCTAACGAATCACTCACGTCGATGGCCTGGGCTAGCTGCGGATCGATCAAACCTGCGGCTCCCACATCACCAGGAACGGTCGCAGCGTCGGCATCTGGTGCAGCGTCGCCGCCCCGCTGCGAGGAGGAGGCCATCAGCGCTTTCCCGACGGCCGTATCCCACGGGTTTCGGCACACGTGTGACCAGGTCACTGACATCAGAGCCAAAACGGCTGTTGAAAGGGGGGCCGTTCCCCTATCACCCTCTCTCCTTTTCTCTCCCTCGTCTCGTCCCGTTCTCCCTCTTCCCCTCTTCTCTTAATCGGGATGGGAGGGGAGGGGGGGAAGGATAGGAGGAAGGAGGGAGGGAGGAAGGACGAGGGGGGAAGGAAGGGACGAGGGGGGAGGATCCAAAGAGGATCAGAGGAGGATGATGAAGGAGAAGGGAGCGAGGTTTTTATTTGATGAAACCAAAGGCGGGCTTGGAGCAGGTCACCGTTCGTCGAAAACCTAAATATAATATCAACAATGGTGTTAATACTACGGCATGCAGCCTATAGGCTCTTGACAAGATCACCCCGATCATAATGTACATTTTCATCATGCAAAAAGGTCCGGTCAACTTTGGTGATCGGATGGACCTCTGGGTACGGGTCGCGGACGGGATGTCGCTACTGAAATCCAGAAGATTTGCAGCTTCTGGTGGAATCATTCCCTCGATTCCCATCGGAAGAGCCCCCAGTGGAGTCACTCTGCCCAACTCCTGGGCAGTTGACGTCAAGGAACACGTCGCCAGACTCGCCCGGATGAGTCAAGTTGAAATGCGTGCCAACTTGGACCCAAACTACGACGGAAAGACCAAGACTCGTAGGGACTTGAAAGCCAATGGCACCTGCGCCTTAGACGCTTGCCTGGAGCTGGTGACACCAACGAGGCGACACTGGTTCATTCAGGATTGCAAGCTGGAGGACTGGATCGAAGAGAGCGAAGCCACGGACAAGTACGCAGTCAGCCGGAACGCCGAATGTTAGCTGAGAGCAGATTGCGGGGAGGAAGGAGCACGAGCGATGCTGCTGTCACACAGAGGACCCAACACCGACGAAATCGCCTGTCTCCACGTGGTCTTCCGCGCTTCCCCGGGCGGGTCACCCCAAACGACAAACGGGGGCTCCACCCGCGTAGTCGCGTCGACCCAACCAATGGCTTTCTGGTCAAGCACGACAAGGTCGACGGGCCACTGCACAGCACCTCTGCTGCAGCGCCCCAGCCTGAAAAGACAGGTGCGCCTCGCTACCGCGTCGACATCGCGCCCAGCGCGATCCTGCGCGAATGGGTCAAAACCGCCCTGACGAACATGTACCGCCCCAGCGTGCGGCGGGGCGATCTATGGGGGACCACGCTTGCTGCGTTGCCATACGCGCTGGCCTTTGCGACAGACGACAACGGGGAGACACAATGTTCCAACGACATCTACAGGAACCCACTAAGCGGACATTTTCTGCTCCTCCGAGGACGCGCAGGGCTCGGAGGCCAGCTGCTCGATCCTGACCACTTTGGCGACCGGGTGAGCAGGCCGGACGCGTTGGAACCGATCACGGACGCTGAAGTAGACGAACACCCAGGCTCGGTGTGGCAGCGTGCCAACAACGTGCCTGCTGAGGACACCATCGAAGGGGTCATTGCAGCGCATGACCTCACCGAGGACCACACGCAGGCACTCCGCTCATCCGTCAAACATCTCGTCGCGGCGGTACAAGGCCCACCTGGCACAGGGAAAGCGCGCTTCGCCGCCGCACTAGCCAGGCTTTGGGAACATGTCGCGGGACTCGGTTCCAGTGTTCTCGCCGTCGCTGGCTCCAACGCAGCAGCAGACCAAACAGCGGTCGCCTTCGAAACGGCGCGCAGAGAGGGCTGCCTCGAAAACTCCCCGCAGTGCTCGAGCTGCGCTGTACGATTTGCAGAGGACGAACGCATTGGACATCCTGACGCACAGGTTGCCCGCCACCAGTCACTATCGACGCGCATGGAACACGGAGCCCAACAGGTCCAGCAAGAGTAAGAGGTGGCGGAAGTTCAAAGACGACCTCAGCAGCACATGCAGCATTATCATCGCGATCCACGAGGGCCCCTGGAGGCTCGACCAGCCCAAAGCACCCAAGGTGATCCTCTGTGTCATCGACGAGGCGGGCCAGGTCTACGAGGTCTCTGCTGCCATCTCCATCGACATCATGTCGACTGGCGCCAACATCGCTCTCGCGGGCGATCCCAAGCAGCTCCCGCCAACAGTGCAGTCCTGGTACGCAGAATACTTAGGGCTACAAGTTCCCCTTTCCGAGAAATTCAATGCTCCCTGGGCGAGGACCGCCCTGCCGCAGTACTTCTCGCAAGGTTCTCCAGGTGCCGCCCCGGCGTCCTTGGCTGCCCCAGGTTCGCTTACAACGTCGGGGAGATCATGTCAGGCCTCGTCACACCACTACAAGACCGTCCTATTGTCAACGGGCTTCCGTGGGTCTAGCACCGTCCACTGGACAGCGAGCGACTGGAGTCAGACGCCAAAAAGCTAGGCAAAGGCGTGGACGAATTCAGGGGCGAGATCAGCGACCTACACACCGAGGGGATGATGCCTGGAGACGGCCAACGTGTGCTCATGATCGACAATCCACATGCGGACATCACCTCCAATGCCAAGAGCGGCTACGCCAACCTCCACGAGGCTGCCGCATGCCTTGAAGTAGTTCGCGCGCTTGGCCCGCCATGCTTAACAGTGGACTAACCGTCAAAATGACCGCCCCCTACGCTGCGCAGCGGACCGTACTGCGCGGCGGGTGGCCACAGGGCAAGAGTGGTTTCCGGAAGAACGCCTCGCTGGCTGCATCGAAGCAGGGTAAGAAAAACCAAGGCACTACAGCGGCTTCAGAGTTAAATCCACCGGGTCAGTCCCCCACTCCCTTCTCCCCGCTTTATTCCCAACCGCGCGCGGTTAGCGCGCGCGCCCGCTCTGCTCTTCCTGCCCGCGCCTCCGGCTTGGGCGCTCACTGCCCACTCGATGGCCCCCCGACGGCCGACAACGGGTTGGCATTTTTTCGAAGGATTGGCCGAAACGTTCTCTGACCTGATGGGGATTGGTCAGCTCTCCCTCTCCACTGTTGACGCCAGTCAGGGAGGATAAGCTGACATAGTCATGTCCCTTGCCACGCGCTCCAACGGGTCCTACGACTGGGGTTTCCTTGACGCGCAAAACAGGACCAACGTCGCCCTGACCAGAGCTAAACGGGTCGTGGTCCTCATCGGAGACCGGCGGATGTTCAAGGCTGCGACCGAGTCTGCTCTTCGGACCCTCGCCGAATACGGCATGGCCGCAGACCTCTGGGTGAGACCTGCCTCCACTGAGCCTTGGGAGGAGCGCGACAGGGGATGGAAGCCCTTTAGCCCACTGGCTCACTGGGATGCAACTGCTAAAATCGGGGCCGCCATGCCGGGCAGCAGCCCAACCGCAGCAACACTAGGCGCTGCACCAAGCATCCAGAAGCAGAAGGTTTAAATGCGAGGGGATCAGGCCGAAGGTTTCGTCTACAGCATCGTCAGACCGCTACCAGAAATGTTTGAATGGGGAACCCTGGCGAAGCAGCTCATCAACTCGCTAGGGGCGGTCCTGGCCTCGCCCGCTCTCTTTCCTATCCTCTACCTTGTTTCTGGCCTTCGCCCGTGCGCCCTCAGCCCTGCGCAACATCCCAACAATTCCAGTCTTTGGGACAGGAAGGTGTGGAACCACACAGGGTTTATCTATGATGTTACGGTTGGAGTTGATGCCGGCAATCTGACATGCAACATTCTCAGGGCGTGCACGATGCGTGCGGTTGGGCGTGGCCACAAGGTGGGCGACGGGAGCACCTCGCCCCCGGTGGCCAACCTGCCTGAAAGGCCAAAAGGCTGCCTACAGAAGCGCGCATCCAAGGACTGTCGGGGCTCGCCAGCTGGCATGGGCAAGGAGCTACCCACAGTATGGAGTGCCACGACGACACAGTGTCCAATGCGCCAGCTTCATCCAGGGATGGACGCCTGGAAAACATCGTCAAAAGGCGACTACATGCCTACTGACCCTACCGCGCGGGCTCAGACCTGCACGGCCCTCGTGATGATGATGCTGGCGCTTCGGGAACCAAGGATTTGTCTTTTCCCATTTTCCGAACAAGAAGGGGCCGGGGATATCGTGGAGGCCGTCTTGGGCCTATGCAAACCTGGCAGCTCTACTGGCGCCGCATCCATTGCAAGGGATCGTCATTTCCGGATTCAGTTAGGTCTGACATTGGAGATTTCCAATCACGACTACCAGAACCTGCATCGGAGATTTATCGACGCGCTAAGACGCGCGAGCGTGCTTACATGGTTCTGCCACGGCCACGATGTCTCGAAACGCTTGCGTACTGAACACTGCCCGTTGCGCACTGAACACTCGAACTGAACACTCGAATAGTTTGCTCTGCGCTTCAAGAGTCGTCTGCTGCAAGCGTTTCTGCTTGGGCGTGACCGCGCATGTTATGAAGAACCTGGTTCGGAGAAGGTCCTCGCGCAGTGCAGCCTCGTATGCGAGGCGTGGTGCGGAAAATCCCTTCCTTGCCCTGTCTTGTGCTGGAGCTGTTTAGTCAGGTCGTGGTGTCATGTGCAGCATGCATTTGTTGTATAACAGGAGTTGGTTGGTGCGGTTAGGTTTTCTCCTTGCGGCCATTTGGGCTCCAGGCGTGCCTCCCGCGCCCGCTACAATATTCGTTTTGCGCCGTGCGCGGCCATCAGTCAAAACGCATGTTGTTCATCGCTTCACATCTTGGTCTCGTCCTCTTACTTCCCTCTTCCCCCTCCTTTTCCTCCGTCGTCCTCCCCGTCCCAGTCCACTTCCTGATGTTTTTCCGTTTCATCATCTCTCTCTTCCCATTTCCCATCCTTCAAGATGCACTTCGGCAGCAATGCGCCACTGCGTCCATTTGGTTCGATTTCTGCTCTTCCCATGGGCTTCTGATGACCAACCTGCTGCCGTTACCAATTGGGGCGAAAATTGCGCCCGAGTTTGCAGGTTCTGCGCGATTCCTGGGGCCTCGCGCAGGCGTGCGTTTCCGCGTATTTGCAAGAGTCACGTGTCCAAATGGAGACGCATGGCCATAAGTTAAGTTTTGTTTTGCCTTTCGAATCGTTTTGGCTGTCAGAGAGGGGCTCGAACCCACCCTAAATCTTACCTCTCGATAAATGCCGGTGTATCTCGACATGGCGCAGAACGCCATGCGCATTTTCGGCGCGGACCAACCTTGCTATCTGTTTCAAGGATTGCTCAGCGAGTTTGTTTGGGAGCAGATTGGCCAGGAGATGTGAGACCAAGGCGACGAGGGCCAGGTTGACGCCGCAGTGGGACTTGCAGTTTCCGCCGGCCACACCCTGGCAGGTTTCTGGCCCAACGCAAAGGTCGGTCGCGTCCAGCATGAGGGCAGCGTGAACAAAATTATCTGTTTCAAGTTAAACGTATGGGGGATGCCAACAGCCACGAATACGCTATTATCCCGGCAAAGCAACCTAACAGCGATGTGTAGGAGTATATCTGGAAGCATTCCGCGAATCGCAGTCGTAGTCGCATTCGCGATGGCAGTCGCAGTGGCAACGGCAGTCGCAGTCACAGCCTCAGCCTGCCTCAGCCTCAGCCTCAGCCTGCCTTAGCCTCAGCCTGCCTCAGCCTCAGCCTCAGCCTGCTTCAGCCTCAACATCAGTCTGCCTTCAGCCTCGGCCTCAGCCTCAGCCTGCCTCAGCCTCAGCCTGCATCAGCCTCAGCCTCAGCCTCAGCCTGCCTCAGCATCAGCCTGCCTCAGCCTCAGCCTCAGCCTGCCTCAGCCTCAGCCTCAGCTGCTTCAGCCTCAGCCTCAGTCTGCCTTCAGCCTCGGCCTCAGCCTCAGCCTGCCTCAGCCTCAGCCTGCCTCAGCATCAGCCTGCCTCAGCTCAGCCTCAGCCTCAGCCTCAGCCTCAGCCTCAGCCTCAGCCTGCTTCAGCCTCAGCCTCAGTCTGCCCTCAGCCTCGGCTCAGCCTCAGCCTGCCTCAGCCTGCCTCAGCCTAAGCCTGCCTCAGCCTCAGCCTCAGCCTCAGCCTGCCTCAGCCTCAGCCTGCCTCAGCCTCAGCCTCAGCCTCAGCCTCAGCCTGCTTCAGCCTCAGCCTCAGTCTGCCCTCAGCCTCGGCCTCAGCCTCAGCCTGCCTCAGCCCCAGCCTGCCTCAGCCTCAGCCTCAGCCTGCCTCAGCCTCAGCCTGCCTCAGCCTCAGCCTCAGCCTCAGCCTGCCTCAGCCTCAGCCTCAGGCTGCCTCTGCCTCAGCCTCAGCATGCTTCAGCCTCAGCCTCAATCTGCCTTCAGCCTCGGCCTCAGCCTCAGCCTGCCTCAGCCTCAGCCTGCATCAGCCTCAGCCTCAGCCTCAGCCTCCCTCAGCCTCAGTCTGCCTCAGCCTCAGCCTCAGCCTGCCTCAGCCTCAGCCTCAGCCTGCTTCAGCCTCAGCCTCAGTCTGCCTTCAGCCTCGGCCTCAGCCTCAGCCTGCCTCAGCCTCAGCCTGCATCAGCCTCAGCCTCAGCCTCAGCCTGCCTCAGCATCAGCCTGCCTCAGCCTCAGCCTGCCTCAGCCTCAGCCTCAGCCTCAGCCTGCTTCTGCCTCAGCCTCAGTCTGCCTTCAGCCTCAGCGTGCCTCAGCCTCTGCTCAGCCTCAGCCTCAGCCTCAGCCTCAGCCTCAGCCTCAGCCTCTCAGCCTCTCCTCAGCCTCAGCCTGCATCAGCCTCAGCCTCAGCCTCAGCCTGCCTCAGCAGCCTCAGCCTGCCTCAGCCTCAGCCTCAGCTTCAGCATCAGCCTGCCTCAGCATTCAAAATGTGGCCCGGGAATGGAGTTCTGGGAACTCGAAGAACACGAAGTGGCCTGCAGTTGGCTCCGGGCATTCAAAATCATGCCCAGGAATGGAGTTCTGGGAACTCGAAGACCACGAAGTGGCTCACTGTTGCATCCGGGCATTCAAAATGTGGCCCGGGAGTGGAGTTCTTGGAACTCGAAGAGCACGAAGTGACCTACAGTTGGCTCCGGGCGTTCAAAATGTGGGTCGGGAATGGAGTTCTGGGAACTCGAAGACCACGAAGTGGCCTACAGTTGGCTCCAGGCATTCAGAATGTGGCCCAGGAATGGAGTTCTGGGACCTCGAAGACCACGAAGTGTGTAACTGTTGGCTAAAAAAAAGTCCCCGGCACCCTCCCCCGGATCGCGCCCAGACCCCCCTGGGGCGTCATGATGCTCTCTTTTGACCCTACTAGAAACCTAGCAGTCTTCGCTGTTAGGTAGAAATCTGTTGAATGGATCACCGATTGCCTGAGACTGGAGGCCAGCAGGCGGAACCCCGAGGCAACAGCATCGGCACTTCGAGAGCACCGTTCTTCTGGCACGTCCAGGGTGCCCAGGCGGCTTTGCAAATTGTATGCGCGCTCGTTGGCGCCGATCTCTTGCAACGCTTGCTCTGACCTAGCTGAAGGTGTCATGGGTGCGCTGAGGCACTTGACGGAGTATCTGTATTTCGCGAGGCCGAAGCGCCGTGTTGCCGGCACCTCACACTAGATGCGTGACTTGGAAGCACCCAGTGAAATTACAAAGATGTTCGGCCGCATGTTTGTGACTGTTCTGGATCGGGCTGCTACGCACCAGCTCAAACGCAAACAGCGAACTTGAATCGCAGCAGGGCAACTCGAGCGTAATATCGTTGGCTTTCGGAGTGTGCCGCGGGAGCTCCAACCAGGGATTCTGAGTTACATCGTGTGTTGTTGATTGATTGTTCGAAAGGCGTCAACCTCATGATTTGGAGATGGGTCAGAGCCGTCATTGTGCATGGGGCACCATCGTGATAGCCATCATAGTCAGGGCCACCCTCTGAGCGTTTACATGCTCATCGCTGTCGTTGGCCATCTCTTGTTCCAAGCCTCGGTGTGTTGGTGGCGTGTTTGGTTCATGTGATGACTGGAACATATTAATGCTTTGGCGCGCGGCCCTGCGAGCATCTGGCAGGGGATCGCTGGTTTCGGAGACGCATCGGGTCAGCGCATCAAGCGGTCCCTTGTGAGAAGACATGGCTTCAACGCTTGTGGAGCGCACGTTGTCACTCGGCACGAGTCTTTCGGTTTTTGGTTCGGCCCCGCAGCCGCGGTCGAGGACGTTGTCCGGGAGCCTCTTGCAAAGTTTTCGCAGTGATTTTGGGCGCCGCGCCCGTGCCAGCCTTGCAACGCGTTGGCTTGCATGGATTGTGTTTTTGCAACCCATCCTGTCGTACAGTTCCATGTTTGTCCAGATGGATGCGTTCACTGTCCCTGCAGCTCGGGACATGGCCATGGCTTTCTGGGCACGGCTTTGACGGTGCCCCTTCCAGGCTTCTCACATGCCAAGATTCAATGCCACATTTTAGTCAAGGCGCGCGGTCGTCTCCTGGACAATATGGCTGGGCCGCTGGCGGCAGCAACGCGGATTGAGAGGTCAGGGAGTATAGGTGCGCAACAGTTGTCCGCATGGGAAACGAGTGTGGCTGGAATCGCCCAGCCGCGAGGCCTCCGATCGCACCCGTCTTTCGCCCAAGATATCGCTGACGACACGATGACCGAGGCACTGCGGAGTGCTTCAAACGCCGCTCTGGTAAGATGGCGGTGTACCGGGTGCTTTACTAGCGGCCTTGACTGGAGGTCTTCCCTTGTCACCGCTCGGCTTCGTGTCCGCGGTCTTCAGTGGAATCCCGTGGAGGCGAGCCTACGCGCGATGCCGTCGTTTGTCCCGGTCGAGCACAGGCTTGCGATGATGAGGCGTTCGTTAAAATTCGATCTCACAAGCAAGCGTCCCGCGCCTGTCTGGCAGCAGCCCGTCCGCGAGTGACCCTTCTGCGCTGCGCTGGAGTGCGATTATGTGGAGCATTGGGACGCATATCTCGCCCCGCGCGCTCTCCGTACAAGCCTCTCGCCCGAGCACGCATCGTTGACGTTTGGAAAGTTCTGGCTCCAACAGTTGCCGACTGGTGGGGCGAAACTCCAGTCAGATTTACCGTTATGTAGCCTTTGTGTGCGCTTGCGCCGCTTACAGCAAACAGGTCTACAGCTCTTCTCATTGCAGGAAATCATTACGCCGGCCAAGCTTCGGTGTGTGGACCTTTGGATCATGGGCACAGCAGTCGTCATGTGGTTGCGTCAGGTATCACGAAGGCACCCGGGAGGTGTACGCTACTTGTGGGGCATTTTTGGGTGATAGTGCAAACGGCGTTTCATGTTATGAGGGGCTTATCTAGGCGTTCACTCACGTCCTGCACATCCCGACCACCTCTTTGCGATTCCACATTGCCTGCCTGCTGGTTGCCCAGCAGCTGAACTTGCATGGATATGCTTGTTCCCCGATGTTGGGCGATTGTTTTTGCATCGAATCGATTCGGCCACCGATTCGATCTGATGCCAGGCCCACGCGGTGGCTATATCGCTTCAGACGCTGACTGGGCTCGAAGTTGAATCTCGGGGGCCGCGGCGGCAGCCAGAGAAGGGGCGCTGAGCATCCTGGGCGTGTGAAGGTTTGGAGTACGTCGCCTTCGCCACCCCTCCCAACCACCCCGCCACTACCCACTGGCAGGAGTGGGCTGAACTCGAAGGTCGTTTCACCACGCACTGAGCACTGAGTTGGTCTTTGCTTAATGTTTCCTCCATGCTGCAGGCGGACCCGCCTGACCGCACACAGTACGCCGCCCTCTCTTAATGATTAAGGCCGGTAGGACTGCAGAACGGGGTCTTGATTCCCATTCCCCACCTTCCTCCGGCGGCCGTGCTGCAACTCGCGGTCCGCGCGGCCGTGCTGCAACTCGCTCTGGCCCGAGACAACCAGGCCCAACCAGTTCTCCTCGCGGCTACTGGTCGGGGCGCGCAGCCGGACGTTTCTACCAGCCCAAGGCATATCCTTTACCCTTAGGCTTGGCATCACCTCATCTCGGTGCCGATCGTAAGGATTCCTCTCAGCTTCTGAGGGCACGCCCCCGAGACTGTCATCGCCTTGGGCCTGCCAGTCTCAGGGAACGTGGATAAGCCCGAGGCCGGTCAGAAACGAAGCAGTCGCGGCGTTCCCAGCGTCGACGCGCCGAGCCATGCAGTTCTCCGTTATGCTGGCCCTCGCGGTGTGCGCGTACCTGGCGCTCGCGGCGCCCGCCGCGACCGCCTTCCTCGGGGCCAAGGCGCGCAGAACGAAAGAACGGCACAAGCCAGGCAGGCCAAAGGCCTAGGGTAAGCCGCTCGTTCCAGATCTCTCCGACACGGCCCGGGCGCCCAGCACGTTCCTCAAACCCGCTGGCTTTCAGAGATTGCCGATTCACGGTCGTCCGAAGTCATATGCTTTCGTCTGAAGCAGTCTGCTTTCGCTTCCCAACTGTTGAAAGTCTGCGCGGAATTTTTGTCTTGGCGCCGGGGCCTCCGCGCGACGGGGGAGGGGAGCCCAGCGCCGACCCGAAAACTCCGCGCGGCCCTCCGACAGCCGATGATCGCGCCGTTCTTTCGCTGCGGCGAGGGGGGCGGCGCAAGCAGCCCCGCTCCTGACGCCACGGGGGCTCAGGGCGCCCGCCTGGCCGAGCTCGAGGATGCCCTGCGGCCCACCTTCGCGGCGCTCCCGAAGGACGCCGCCGGAGGCCTGAGCCGCAGGGCCGTGCGCTACGCGCTCCACAGGCCCGAGGCTGGGATTCACCCACATCCAGCGCCTCGGGAAGCCGATGCATCTAGACTTCGGGGGGCGGTGGGTGCGGGCATCTAGCGCATCTAGCTGGGCTATCCACCGCCACGAGGGGTCCCAGGGCACCAGCTCCCCAGGCGGTGGGTGCGCGTAAGTCCCCGCCTTGCAGCAGGCTGTTCGTGCAGCGTCACGGCTGGTACGTCAGGGGCCTCGAGCCGGGCACTGGCTCGGTGGGCACGCCCCTGCATGGCCTCCTTGAGCGGCACGCCCCGAGCTCTGGCGGCGCCGGCCTGCCAGAGCTCGCCGCCGCCGCGGCGGCCCTTGAGGACCTGGTCGCGGGGGAGACGTCCGAGCGCGTGCGCAGGTCCTACGGCATGTTCGGACACTCGACAGGGGCGAGCCTCGGCCGAGACGAGGTTCTCTGTGAGGCCGAAAAGATTCCGATACCGCTGCTCGTCCTGGAGAATCTTCGTCGCCACCAACGGATTCGTCTCGAAATTCTTGTCAGCAAGCGTCCCAGGAGAGGTCTGTGGAGTAGCGGTATCGGCATCCTTGCGTGTTCCCATCGAAGCAGGCGGGTTTTGAGGGAGACAAGTCCCGAGGTTAGTCGCTGTGTTCGGCGTCCAGTGGCCCTCACTGGGCCCTGGGTCAAGAGACGGTTCAGGGTGAAGAGCTGTTCCCGGGGGAAAGGCCTTGGGGCCCATGACCCGTTTCCCGCAGGACCCACTGTTCTTCCTGCCAAGAGGTGCTCGAGGTCATCGTGGCCTACTACGTCGGCTTCCTCGACGGCGGCGACCTGGAGGCCAGCGGGCCGCAGGACGCGCGCCGGGAGGTGCAGAGCTTCGCCGCGACCTACTCCGGCTGGGCAGACGCGGAGGCCTGGCTCCTCGACGTCATCGAGCCTCGCCTCGCCGCCGGCGCGGGCAGCTACGACTTCGGCGCCGCCGTCCGCATGGCGGTCGAGGTCGCGCATCAGTACCACGTGTTCAACGACTTGGAGTGCCGCAGCCTCAAGGCCACGATGAGCGCACTGGAGGGCCACAGGGCAGGGCGCGTGCGGCTCCCCGCCTTCTACAGGAAGGGCCTGCACAGCCACTGGCGCTTCGACGAGCGCCCCGAGTACCTGCGCGCCGTCGGGGCGCTCGACGAGTCGGAGCCGGAAGCCCCGTCGGTGATTTTGCCGAACTACATGTCGGCGCGCACGAATTGCCTGGAGGCTTCGGGCAGCTACGCGCTCTGCTGCCGCAACGAGTGCGAGGACCTGCTCGGCCACCTGGAGGCGCACGTCGGTGCGCCTCAGGCCCCCGAGCTGGAGGTGGTGCGGCTCGTCGCCGCGCTGCCCTCGGGCACCGTCGAGGCCCCGCGCTTCCTGCCCTCGGCACTGCTGGGCCGCCTCTCGGACATCGCGGCCGCCAGCGGAGGCCTCGTGCCTCTGCACGGCCGGCTCTTCGCCCAGTGGATGCACCACGCGTTTCCTCGCGAGTGCCCGTACCCGCACGAGTCTGGGGCCGCTAGCCCCCAGACGCCGGACATCAGAGGCGGAGAAAAGGTACCCATATTTTTGCTCGTCCTGGAGAGCCCTCGTCGCAACGGCTGGATAATGCTCGAACTGCTGGTCAGAACGCACCCACGGAGAGATGTGGCGGTATCTGTATCGATTTGCCCCCCAGGACGAGTGGATGCGGCAGACGGGCGAAGAGACCCACAAGCTCTCGCGGGATGAGATGGCAAGGCAAGTGGAAGAGGACGTGTGCGCTCTCGAGCTGGAGGCAGGCTCGGCTGCGGGCTGCGGTGGCCGGAGGGGCTCTGTGCGTGCACCACGTCGTCGTGTCGGCCAGGGAGCCAGGGAGGTCGGCGAACGCAGTCTGTGCACGGATGCTCCTGCACTCCACAGTTTTGGGAATGGGGGCGTCTCTACACAGAGCCAGCTCTTTGGCCGACCAGTCAGTTCGGTGCATGCTCTGAGCCCCATCGCAGGTGGTGGCGAGGAGCTCCCGTGGAGCGACTCAGAGGAGCTGCTGGACGGCCCGCCAGGGGGCGGCCGGCAAGCACTGGTCTGGGTCGCCGCTCTCTACGCCGCGACCGGCTTCGCGGCCGCCGCGGTGATACGCCGTGGGTCGGGCGCGCTCAGCGGAGGCGCGAGCAAGCTCTCCTGAGCGGCCCGGCGCGGGCGCCCCGGTGGCTCTGGGAAGATCAGATGAGAAATTTGCCTGTCAGCATCGGAGCAGATTATTGAGAATCAGCCATTGCACAGAAGCTGTGCAGGCTATGTCGTGCAGGCGATTTGGTGTAAGCTACGTGTTGCGCAGTAAATACGTGGTGCAAGCTAGAAGCTAGAGGCGGCAACGAGGCGGCAATGGGAGACAACGTGGCAAATGTTCGCCAGACCCACCCAGCGCGCGAGGCAGCCACGAGGTGGCAACGGGTGGCAACGTTGCGAAACCACCTCGCCGGATCCACCCGGCGCACGAGGCGGCACCGAGGCGACAAGGGGCGGGAACGTGGCGGAATCTCGCTGGACCCACCCAGCGCACGAGGCGGCATCGAGGCGGCACCGAGGCTGCAACGATACTGCAGCGTGGCAAAGCCTCGACAGACCCACCCAGCGCAGGAGGCGGCAACGAGGCGCACGAAGCGCAACGAGGCGGCAACGAGGCAGCAACGGGCGGGAACGTGGCGAAACCTCGCCAGGGGAAGGGGGGCAACGGGCGGCAACGAGGCGAAACCTCGCTGGACCCATCCAATTCCTGAGTAACCGAAGTAAGAACCTCTCAATGCAAGCATTGTTGATGAAAAACAGTGGGAAGGCCTTACAGCTGGTGCCGCCGACTATGAAGATGGACGGCGACGACGACGACGACGACGACGACGACGACGACGACGACGACGACGACGACGACGACGACGACGGCGGCGGCGGCGGCGGCGTCGACGACGACTACGGCGGCGGCGGTGACGACGACGACGATGCTCTGAGCCCTTCTTGGGGCTCTGGGTTCTGTTGGGGAGCCTCTCGGGGGACTTCGTGGAAGCTCCGTGGCCACTTGGAGTCGCCTCGGAGCCGATCTGAGAGCTTTTGGAGGCATGTAGGAAAATATGCAGCACCCCGCAACAGCAGATAAATGTGATGAGGGTGCTTCCTGGGGAGGGGTCGGGCAGGAGGGGGGTGGTGGTTCTGGTCCCTGTGGTCCCCTTGTTCACCGGGGCATGGCAGGGGGAGGGGTCCTGAGCCCCCCTGTCCACAAGGGGAAGACCCCCCTGTTCCCCTTGTCCACGGGTGACTGCCCAGGGAGAGGTCACGACCCCCCGGGACCCCACCTGGGACACCCCCCGCTACCCCACCCGGGACCTTGCTAACCCCCTCCCCGCTACATTTCCGACGTTATTTCCGTCTAGCTGGATCGCTTGAAGAGGAGGGCCCAGGGAAAGGGGGGGAGCGGCGACGGCGACGACGACGACTCACACGGAGAAGCGTCCCACGCACGCCGACAGGGTCGGCCGATTTTTTCGGAGCGTTGATTTCTTGAGTCGGCGCTTGACCCCTCCTGGCGGCGCGGCGGCGCCTCAGGCGCCTCTCCTGGCACGCTCCGCGCGTCAGGGGAGAGTGGTCCAGCGCCGACTCCACACATCCGCGGGTACCTCTGGAAGCTTGTTTCCAAGTTAGGGGTTCTCGCCGTCGACGCCCCGTCGCCGCCTCGTGACCGCCCGTCGTCTGGGCCTGCGCGTCGGTCTGGCGGCTATGTTGTTACAATTAACGTATGATTCTGCCCCACCGTCCATCCTAAATATGACTTCATACCATCCCGGCCGAGCCAGCATCGACACCCCCGGCCATCCTCTGCAACAAATCAAATGCGCGCACACTCGTTTGTCAACAATCAGCAGTTTTCAAGAATCCCTTGCGAACAAATTGACGAAGTGCGCACGTGCGCGCCGTCGCGCTCAAAAAACCTATGCCAAAATCGTCGTCGTCGCGTCGTCGCGCCATTCCCCGCAAAAACCGATGGGTTCATATGATGCCAAAATCGAGTGTCCAACACACATACAAAAACACATAGCCTCGCAACACGGATTTTCAAAAAACACGTGCGCGTTCTTGCGATTTCTTTAGACAACGATTGTTTTTCAACATTTCCCGGACATACTACCAAACGGGCTTCGCGCGCGTATGTCGAAATCGTTCGAACGCCTTTGCGCGCGTGCCGTCGCGAGAATCATTTGCACAAAATTGGACGACGTGCACACGCGCGCCGCGTCGTCGCGCGCGCATGCCGAAATCCGTAAAAAAAACGGTCGGGTTTGTAACGATGTCAAAACCGAATGTCCAAACCACATTCAAAAACACAAGACTGCGCAACATCAGTTTGCAAAAAGCTTGTGCGCGTGCTCTTGCGAGTCTTTGAAAAACCATCGGCTGTTCAACATCTTCATGGGAATCTGCCAAACGGACCTCATGGCGCCGCATGCCGACATCATTCGCACGCCCTTGCGCGCGTGCTGGGGGGGGGGCACGATCCGTGTCAAACAGCACCATGCGGGCCCCTCGCGCGTCGGCCGCGCGCGCATATCGAACTCTTTCCAAAACCTCCATCCCCGACGCGAGGACGCCGTCATCGTCATCGGCGTGATCAGCATCGGCGCCCGCGCTGGCCGCGCCTTCGTCGGTGCGAACATCGTCACCAGCATCACCACTATCATCACTGCGTCTACTGTAGTCGGCGTTGCCATGATACCGCGCCCGCCCAAAATTCGTCGACTCGCAGTGAATTGCTCGCTGGGATGCGCCCAGCGGTCAGCGCCACCGCGGCCGCGTCGGTGGCGCTAAACTAGCTGGCCGCTGCGCGCGCGTGCTAGGGTTGGCGCGGCCGCAGGGATGCACCAGCCAACGCCAAGCATGCATCGCAATCGCCACAACATGGGTTTTGCTAACCAAGCTGCGGGTGGGTGGGTGGGATGTTTGCGCGAGCCGTGGAGGTGGTCAAGCGCCGTGCAGGGTAGTCATTTCTCTTTTCTGGAATAAAAATAGACTACCCCCCGGGTTTAACGGTACCCCCCGGGGTATTGCGATGTCATATGTGTTTTGCACATTCGCCCATCTTCAATATAAATCCATATTATCCCAGCCAGGCCGGTATCACTCCCCCCCGCCATCCACTGCAACAGTTACTATGCGCGCACTCTCGTTTATCAAAACTTGCAAGTTTTCACGAATCATTGGCACAAACAAAAACCGGACGAAGTGCGCACGCGCGCGTTGTCGCGCGCGCGTGCCGAAATCCTTCAAGAACCTTCGGTTTCGGAGCGATTTCAAAATCGAGCTTCCAAAACACATACAAAACACATGGGTTCGCAACACTGAGTGTCAAAAAAATGCTTACGCGCGCGCCCTTGCGAAATTTTAAGAGAACCATCGGAAATTCAATATTTTCAAAAAATGCCACCGATTCGAACGCCCTTGCGCGCGTGCCGTCTTGAGAATCCTCGGCAAAAAAATGTGACGAAGTGCAGACGCGCGCCTCGTCGCGCGCATGCCGAAATCCTTTAAAAACCTTCGGTTTCGGAAAGGGCTTCAAACTCGTATGCCCAACATACAAAAACATCAGGTTTCGCAACACGACTTTCAACAAAAGAGTGCGCGCACACGCTCTTGCGTCGTCGTCGTCGTCGTCGTCGCCGTCCTCCCTTGTCCCTCGTCGTCGTCGTCGCCGTCGTCGTCCTCTGTCTTTGCTCGTCGTCGTCGTCTTGGCGTCGTCGTTGTTTCCGTCGTCGTTGGCACCGCGGTCGTCCTTCCTCCTTCGTCGGCTTCGTCGGCTATTCGTCGTTGTCCCTCCTATTTCGTCGCCGTTGTCGTCGTCGTCGTCTTCCCTCCTTCCTGGTCTTTGTCGTCGTCGCCGTCGTCATCCCCTCTCCTCCCTCGTCGTCGTCTGCGTCGTCTTCGTCGGCGACGTCGTCGTAGTCGTCGTCTTCGTCGTCGTCGTCGTCGTGCTCGGCGTCGTCGTCGGCGTCGCCGTCGTCGTCGGCGTTGTCGTCGTCGGCGTTGTCATCGTCGTCGTCGTCGTCAGCGTCGGCGTCGTCGTCGTCGTTTATGTCGTCGTCGTCGTCGAAGTCGTTGGAGACGTCGTCGGTGTCGTCGCAGTCGTTGTTGGCGGCGTCGTCGTCGTCCTTGTCGCTGTCGTCGTCGGCGTCGGTGTCGTTGCCAAGTGCCATGTGGTACCCACCGTCACGGTCTAAGAGGTTTTGCGACCAAGTTGCGGGTGGGAGGGTGGGATGTTTGCACGAGTAGTGGAGAGGACAGTTTCAAGTTGAGCAGGTGAATTCCCGTTTCTAAAAAACTAATAGATTCTACCCCCCCCCCCCCCGGACTTATCGGGCCCCCCGCGCGTGCTGTAAATCACATATGATTCTGACCACATGTCCATCCTAAATATGAATTCATACCATCCCAGCCAAGCCGGTATCCCCCCCCTGCGGTTCCCTGTCAAATAACACTATGCGGGGACATTTTTCTTTCTAACATAACACTTTTTCACGAATCCCTTGCAAAAAATGGGACGAAGTGCACACGCGCGCGTCGTCGCGCGCGCATGCCGAAATCCTTCAAAAACCTTCGGTGCCGGAAGGATTTCGCAATCGAGTTTCCGAAAACATACAAAAACACATGGTTTCGCAACACTGATTTGCTAAAAAAACTTCCGCGCGAGCTCTTGCGAAATCTCAAGAAAACCATATTTTTTTTCAAGATTTTCACAACCCTCCTTGGTTGGGTATTCGTTTTGAATAGAGCAGTGTGGTCGCGTCCTTCCTCCTCCCGCCTCCCGCCTCTTTCCTGCCTCTTTCTGTCTTGCCTGCGGGGGGCTGCGATCTGTGAAACTGTGGCCACTTTCGAGGCCTGCTGGGGGGTCCTGCATAGAGGGTAATCGCGGCGGATTCAAATTAGACCTCGCCATCCCTGGGGGGCTGCGATCTGTGAAACTGTCGCCACTTTCGAGGCCTGCTGGGGGGTCCTGCATAGAGGGTAATCGCGGCGGATTCAAATTAGACCTCGCCATCCCTGGGGGGCTGCGATCTGTGAAACTGTCGCCACTTTCGAGGCCTGCTGGGGGGTCCTGCATAGAGGGTAATCGCGGCGGATTCAAATTAGACCTCGCCATCCCTG